GAGATGAGCATCATTGAGTCTTCAGAACAGTTTATTGTAGCGAAGCTGCAAAACGAAACAGAGGTGGTGAATTTTGTTGTTGTTTACGCAGCACCGTCAGCAACAAGGAGGAGCGGTTTATGGGAGGAACTAAGCCGAGTTCTATTGGCACTAGAGGGGCCTGTGATTATCGGTGGAGATTTTAACACAATCGTTAGAGTGGATGAAAGATCATGAGGGAATGGGAGATTATCTTCAGATTCGTTAGAATTTGGGGAATGGATCAACAATGCGTCTTTTATTGATATGGGCTTCATTGGGAATAAGTTCACTTGGAAGCGTGGCAAGGCAGAGAATACCTTTGTGGCGAAGCGGTTAGACAGGGTAATGTGTTGTGCTCACGCAAGACTGAAATGGCATGAGGCTCGGGTCACACACCTACCTTTTCTTGCATCAGATCATGCGCCTCTATACGTTCAACTAAGTCCGGAAACAGGCCAGAATCGAGGCAGGCGGCCGTTCCGCTTTGAAGCGGCGTGGTTAAACCACCCTAGCTTTAAAGACTTATTGGAGGCGTCATGGAATGGGGTGATTCCGACGCCGAGGGCCTTGAGTGAGCTAAAGGATAAGCTAAAACAGTGGAATAAAGATGTGTTTGGTGATGTCCAGAAGAAGAAAGAGATATTAATGCGGGAAATAAAATTGGTACAAGATGAATTGGAGCTGGTACAATCTGATTTACTATTGCGACGGGAAAAGGTCTTGTTGAAGGAGTTTGAGGAGATATTAGAACAAGAGGAGATACTTTGGTTTCAAAAGTCCAGAGAAAAATGGATTGCTCTTGGAGATCGTAATACGACGTATTTCCACACTTCTACCATTATTAGAAGGAGACATAATCGGATTGAAATGTTACGGAATAATGAAGAAAACTGGGTGTCGGATTCGCAGGAGCTAGAGACACTGGCGGTAGGATACTACCAAAGACTCTACTCCTTAGAAGATGTACCTCCAGTGGTTGAGAATCTACCGTACGCAAGCTTTGTACAGCTTTCCCGGGAGGATTTGTTGGCATTGAATAAACCCTTTACGGCTGCGGAAATAGAGACAGCGGTCCGGAGCATGGGTAGCTACAAGGCGCCGGGTCCAGATGGTTTTCAACCAATTTTTTATCAAAAATGTTGAGAAACGGTTGGAGATTCGGTTATACGATTTGCTCTCAACTTTTTTGCGTCGGGTATTCTTCCTCCGGAAACTAACGATGCTTTGGTAGTGTTGATTGCCAAAGTCATGAAACCAGAAAGGATACAACAATTTCGTCCTATTAGTCTATGTAACGTCCTGTTTAAGACGATAACGAAGACGATGGTGTTAAGGCTTAAACGAGTGATTGACAAACTAATAGGACCAGCGCAATCCAGCTTCATTCCAGGGAGGTTAAGTATAGATAACATTGTAGTGGTACAAGAGGCGGTACACTCGATGAGAAGGAAAAAAGGTCGCAAAGGGTGGATGTTGTTGAAATTGGATCTAGAAAAGGCGTATGATCGGATTCGATGGGATTTTCTAGAGGATACGATTCGGGCTGCGGGTTTTGAAGAATGCTGGGTTTGTTGGATCTTACAGTGTGTTACCAGGCTTTCCATGTCGATCATTTGGAATGGTGAGAAGACAGAGTCCTTCAAACCGTCCCGCGGGCTGCGACAGGGGGACCCACTGTCCCCATATCTGTTTGTCTTGTGTCTTGAACGTTTATGTCACATGATTGACCGATCAATTGCGGTGAAAGAGTGGAAGCCCATTTGTTTATCACAAGGGGGACCAAGACTTTCACATATTTGTTTTGCTGATGATTTGATATTATTTGCGGAGGCGTCAATTTCTCAAATCCGAG